GGCATAGGAATATTACTGCTTTTTCTGTTACTTAGCTATTTATCACCATATTTCACCTTCAACAGTATATAATTTAATTGCTTTAGGAGTTTACAGTGCAATCTCCATTTCCCCAGCCTCAAAGTACTCTCTATCCATTTAATCAAATGAGATGTACTGTAGCACTTTCACTGTTGCTATAATACCATGGTTAGACAGTATTGCTCCCTACAAAGGCTGTTGACATGCCTGTTTGATATAGGAAAAAACAAATTAATCCTTGTTTCCTTTTCTCCAGCAGGATATGATGATCCTGGTTTAGAGAAGTCACCTGAACTTTAAAATATTTACATTTTTCACTAACTTTGAAATTAGCACATGTGAAATGTCTGTCAAGGATTTTATGGCATAACAGATAATTCTTAAAAATATTAAGTCCTTTTCTGAAGCAATGTGAAAAAAGTACTGTTTAATATCTAAACCATTTTCTCTGCCAAAGAATCAGCACCATTTCCTGTTGCTGTAAGGAGATACACAGGTCCACACTTCACAGTCACTTAATTAGTAACAAGCTGCAGCAATTCTTTTGAAGTCAGTAAGGCTGCACAGCTGTAAAACCATTGTTACTGAAATAAGACCCAGACCCACCATGTATATACTTTCCACCAAGTACCACACACAGTTCTCATGCTTATTGCCTATGCTCCCTATTGTAAACAGCAAGACAATAGTATCTCAGATACTGCAGCGTGGTAACCACTGGTAAGTGTAGGTTCTTTATAGTGGTGACCACTGTGAGTGAACAGTAACAAATGCAGTCAGCATGCATGACTTGTCTTGCTCTGAGCCATGCAAGTCTGTAGTATAGCTACAGACCCTTTGACAGCTAGCACAGTACTCATTCCTCTAGAGCATATTGCATACATCCTATACATATTCAGTTCCCTTAGAAAAAATGTTTTTACTACCAATCAGGGTAGTGTATGAAAATAATTCCATCTCTCTTGTGCTGCATGCATCATGATTATGGATGTGCTGAAGGACCAAAAATCAATCTCAGTTACTGGAGAATGTTTTCACTTGCTTCTCTTAGTCATGCAAAGTGTTGTACAAAGAAGCAGAAGTAATACAGCTTGATTTTCATGGAGGTATTACTGTACATGAAGTACTGAGAGGTCACACATTATGGTAGGAGCAGAAGCTGCCCAGTGCTGTTCATTTTGCTGTGTTTTAATAAATGATTATGGAAGTAAAATACAAGGTATGTGGCTACACTGTCAGCTAGAACACCTTGGGCTTCTCTCCTATTTTCTTCCTCCCATCCAAGAAACTTGCATAGGTGGCATTATCAGGCATTTTTTTCCTCCTCACAATGAACTGTTTTCTTTTTGCAGGCGTTAGTTTAAAATGATCCAATCCATTTGCTGTAAACTGACATCACTTTCTCAGTTGCAAGTGGCAGCTGGCAACAGAACATTTCAGAGGTACAGAGATGTACCGCTCAGAGATTCAGTCTGTGTTAAGCAAAACTTTGGTTGTTACCAAGCATGTGTTTACATCCCATTGACCTTGCAGTAACTTCAGCACAGGTCTAATGTTAAGCGTACACTTAGTGTTTTGATGAGTTGCAGCATGGGGAAAAGGCTGCTCTCTCAGCAGCAAATGGAAGCCTAAAGCTCAGTGCGTTCTGCCGGAGCGTCTCGCAAGGAGTACAGACTAGATCAGTTTGAAGGGGATAAAAATCTCCTAAGTCTGCAGCTCATGCCAAAGCTTTTGTTACACCTAGAGCTGTAAATCTGAGCAAGAGTAAATTGGCTAATGACAAGACCCGACCTGTGCAATTATATAGGGTCTTCTCGAACTCTGGTATTTCCTTTTAGAGTCTGTATTTGTTAGGCTGCAGGCTGAAATGAAGAAGGCTATTAAACTGCCACTTCTGGGTATTAGGTTGTTCATGGCTACTCTCATTTTTGTCACCCAAGGTTGCAATGATTTTCTCAGGGATTTTTGTTGTTATCGCCATGCTAGTTCATAGTATAGCTAGGTCATAGCATCATTCTGAATGATCTTGAGTTCAGCTCAAGATTGGCAGTAAGAACAAATTAGATCATAACTATTCTGATAACCCAGTACGCAGCAAAAGGCAATGTAATAGCATTTTTGTTTCATCTTTCATGTTTATAACACCAGTGTCATTAACCCGTCCATAGCCTGAAAAGATACGGGTTTATTTGCAATGTCTTGTAAATGTTATTCCACAATAATGTTGTGCAAAAAACCCTCATAATTTACTGTTTTGTAAAACGCCTTAATAGGAGGCATGCAAAATACCACTAAGAAACTAGAATTCTGTTTCCGTGGGCCTAGCAACTGTGATTATGTACCTTGTCATTGCTCCTTATAAAGTACTTGCCATAGATATCTTGCTGGGCTTTCCCTCACTTTGCTTCGCCATTAGCTCCTCAGATCAGTATCTCTTGCCTGTTTCCTAAAGACAAGTAAAAATAGTCAAGGTCTGTGT